TCTGATAACGCGCATTCTGCAGATTTTCTATGCACCAGACTCATGATTCTCGTTATTATTTTTTTCCCTCTCGCTTCTTTAAAATATATCAGATACGCGAGGCTGATGTGGCAAGTGCGTGTTCTTCTTCTTTTTCTTGGTCTTCTTCCTCGGCTTGTTTGTTTTAACTGATTTTTTTTCTTTTCGAGGTATCCTTTTTAATTGATCAGATTCGCTGACCAGGAGGTCTCTTTTTTCCTCGTTTCGATAGGACCATTAATCCTGACCCATCTTGCTCTCCCGGATCCTCGTCAGCACTTCGAGCCCGTTTCAACCTGTTAACCGCGCTTCCGATTACGTCAGAAGCGATCCCTGTAGCAGCTTTGCGCAGGTGTGGCTTAACGATGGAAAATCCTTTGCGTATCAGAGGGGTGACAAAACGGAAAAGCCTGGAAAACAGAGAACCTATCCCCCGTCCATAATATACAGGAGTACCTCTGAAACCTGGTAAATTACCCCCCGCCTGGGTTACATAATAATGAATAAAACGGTTAGGATCCTCCATTTGTATTTTAAGTCATTTATTTTTATAATATTTGCGTTCACAGAGCGATGTCTTGCCTAGGTGAAGGAAGAGACTGGTCTAAAGTGTAATTTAATAATAGCTTTGCCATATACAAAGTCCACACAGCGGTTCTGATCTGTTTTTATTTGAACTTGTACTGAGTTTATAAACCTTTTTGAAACCTGCACGTAATGAATTGGATTATATCTGATTGAGATGATGTCCCCAAACGCACCATTCACTTCAACCACTCCCAGAAGTGGTGCAAAAGAATCACCTACAGCTTGATACTCGATTATGTCAGAGTAAACAAATAAATTATAATTTCCAGCATGTAGATACGTTTGATACGTGGCCGGTCCTTCAGATAACGTAAACCACTGCGAGGGGTTCAATCCTATCAGATAACACAATGGGGGCTGTAATCTGATTTGATATTGACCTTGACCTTTGAATTCCACTTTTTGCGTAATACTATTAAAAGACAGATCCACCGTGGGCGTGTACTCGTGTAATGCACTTGTAACCTGTTTGATCAAGTCTTGAATACTTTTGAAACTTCCACCTTCGCTCAGTTTTAAAGAAATAATAACTGATTCCTCTTTATAAGGCTGCGTGAATTTTCTGAGCTCAAAGTAACAACCCGAGCTGGGGAGATTGTACCACGTGTGAGGATAAATGATTTCACAAAGTCCGACTTCCCATTCTCCTGATAATTCCATAGGTTTTGCTAAATGCACGATAAAATCCGATGTTTTATTTTCAAAGGTCTCTGCGTTCGAATTTGATGGAAGTGTGATGTAAAAACCATGTTTAGGATATCCCATATTTACCCCTTCAGCGATGCGTAAGCGTACTATCGTTTGTGAATAACGATACGTAGGTTCTTATGTGCGTGGCGTAGGCTGCGTGATGACGTTTATGTACGGAGGAAACGTAGGTTTTTTTACGTGCGACACTGGTTCACGTGATGACGTTGTTTGTTTATGTTTTTTTCATACGCGCTGTAGTTCGCTGGCTTTAATCCACGAATTAAACTTGTCAGGCCAATTTTTCCAGCTGACCAGAACCTGTCGTTCACCTCTGAACGTGCGTTTTTTCAATACTTTATCCACCTGGTACATACTCTCACGGTCTATTTCAATCTTCTGCAACTCCTGTTCATAGAAAGAGCCTTTAATCTTCTCGCCATCAAAGTCTATAATTTTGTAAATAGCCGGATTTCGATAGAGGCATTCAGAGATTGTAAATATTTTATCAGTGAAACTTTGTTGGTATTTCTTATCAAAAACACCATGTAATTTTGATATTCTTACGTGATCACCTTTCTTGAGATTAAATTTGCTTTTAACCCGTGTAACAGCTCCGTACAAATTGTGTAAAACTTGCAGTTTGTTATCATTTGATACATCTATTGGACGCATTTTAATGCTCGAATGAAAAGATTCATTGTAACTTTTTACAAAGTCCTGAAGAGTGTCCAGGTAACGCATGGTGTTTTGAGCTGTAAAAAATTTCCACATTCTGGTTTTCAATGTCCTGTTAAATCGCTCAGTAACAGAAGCCTTTACGTCACTGAATGTGTAAAAATGGATTACATTGTGTTTATCCATTAAACTCTGAAATTTCTTATTAAAAAATTCAGTTCCTGCGTCCGTTTGAAGTTTTCTAGGGATTCCACTTTCTGCGAAAACAGATTCCATAGCACCGGTAACTTGAGTTGCAGTTTTATTTTTTAAAAGTCTTACGTAAGCAAGTTTGGAGAATACATCGATTACTGTTAATAAAAACCTGTATCCATCATTGAAAACTGAAAGACTGCTCATGTCACACAAATCTGCCTGAAATTGTCTGAGAGGCGCAGAGGTAAACACTTTATTCCTAGGGAAATGTATCCTGGCAGGTTTATGCAAAGTGTATGCATCTTGACTTCTTAAAAATGTTTTAATTTTATCAGAATCAATATCAACATTACTCTGATCTTTGACAGCTGATTGTAATCTATGAAATCCTCCAAAACTACCTGGATTATCAGGAGTGTAATAAATTTTCTCTAGGATTTTCTGTTCTTCCATCATGTGCTTCATGAATGAGTCTGAGAGAAAATGACTAGTTACAAAAACAACATGCATCTTTTTATATTTTCTTATGAGAGAGAGTTTTAATATTATTATATTTTTTATATATATGTTT